TACACCTTTATTGCCACACGCTTATTGTCAGATTTTGAACAATCGTAGGGCGCCGTCCATAAATGACGGCAGAATCAGCTGTAAGTAGCCGTAAGTGATTTTGAAATATTGTGAAATGTTGCGAAATCATACCAATAAGTACTGAATTTTGCCGTCATTTATAGACAGCGCTCTACAATTTCACAATTCGTATTTTATATGTATTCAATACAAGAGTATGCGCGGGTGCCTTTTGGTATTCCCATGGGCGTAATTGTTTATTTGAAATGGTTGGTAGTTTTAAGCGTAAAAATACAAAATTCGCAAGAAAAATGTTGATATGAGTGACTTGCTGTAAGCATTTTGCTTGCAAAGTCTGTTCTCACCCTAAGAAGAATTTTGCGTGAAGCAAACGATTCATGTTATTTAACCCTTTATCACATATCGGTTCATAAAGTAACCAGGTACGCCAGACGCTATAGCTATGAAACCACTGAATATTTTTGCATTCTTGTTGGAAACAAATGTAGGGAATTGAACTGGCTTTCATTTGATAGTTTACAGGCTACAATTTCAGCTGAATAGAAAGTTTTTTCTGTTCATGTACTGCTGTAAAAAAAATGCGAAATTATAGCAGAATTCCACATTTTTCCTCCTCTTATCTTGTGGGTTTGTACATTCTTTTCAATTGTCAAATTAGGACTCATGGGACCAAAACACATCAATTTAACTTTCTGCATCATTAGTTTTATGAAATTTATTTTTTTCAAACTTTCATAGTGATTTGAAACTTTTGACTCTTTTCCGATTTCCTCGACAAATACGCAATTTTTCAAAAATCTAAGTATGAGGTCTTTCTCTATTTATCGTGGCACAAAACATATCAAAATGATTCAAAAACAAAAAATTGTACATCACAGGGTTGAATTTGTTGAAATAGCTAATACGTTTTAGCTACGCATCGCGCTACTTTTTTATTTATGTAGACAAAAGCATTTAATTTTTTTCAATTGATTTCAGCTTTTGTATAACATATTTAACCACGATCCGATAGCATGGAACTTTTTACGTCACAGAAATATGTACGTGCTTTACATGTTCATTCATGTTTAAATGATTGAAACTTGCAATTTTGACTACTTTCAGGCGTTGTTGTTGTGTTTTTCAATGCAATTAAGATAGAAACTTTGTGATTACATGTTATTTCATGAATATTTTCACTAGTTTCGCTCTTTTCACATTCTGTAAATTCAGTGTCCATACGAATCAATGTTTTTTTTTGGTTTTTGCTGTCGGATCGTGTATTTAACCCTCTAGTGCATTAATTTTTCCCAGCGCTGCGAGTCCTGGTACTTGGTTGATTTTTGGCCATAGATAATTTAAAAAAAAAAAATCATAATAATGGTTTAGTCAGGAAATGCGATAGACATAAATCAGACTCCATTCTTTGAAAGTGTCAAAAATATGTCCAATTTTGAAATGGAATAATTGATTTTGTCGATTTTTTATTTTTGCGCACATTCTTGTTTAACACACCGCTTGATGTAAATCTTTAATAAATGAAAATGCTTTTTTGAAGCAATGTGATCTGATGTAGTACGGTTTATGTTATGCAGGCGTTCAAATGTTGCCCGTCTAAAGGCGGTTGTATATTAATGAGGGTTAAATGAATGTTCGAAATTATATTTTAAATATCGAAAGTAATGTTTGTTTGTATTTTCAATATATAATACTGAAAAAGAGAAAAAGTGTGTACCGAATGAAAAACAAAACGAACATTTCCTTGCCATTTCGTGTAGGAAGTTTGCATTAAAATGTATAAATGCCCAATTTGTGACTATGATATAGTATTCTAAACTATCCATTGATAAGAAGTGCACGAGTATGCCAGAAATGTGTGAGCAAACATGGAACACGCACAGACACACACACACACACATATAGCATTAGGTCATCCTCAATGGCAAGCATTATGGTTATTATCATGTTAAATTTCATGTATACAGGCAAAATGAAGCGCTGCCAATTCGTTTATCAAATGCAAATCGAACGGAGCAATGAATCTGTCCACAGAATTGTCAGCATGCCAAAACTGAATTGAGAAAACGAGCAAATCTGAATCAAGGAGCGATTCGCGTTGCGTTCCGATTGGGGAGACGCAACTCGAAATATCAACGACGGCAACGACGACGACGACGACGACAACGAAAACAAGTGGAGAAAAGCGCGTTAACTTTCGACTTTTACGTCATTTATCGTTTGATGCGTAGGCGTCTGGCACACCTACTACAATCAGAGAATGCGACTTTCATTGTGTACGGACACGAATACGCACACACCATTTTCCATATAGAACCACATACATGCAAACAATACCCCGAACATAATATTACACGTCTCACCGAACTGACCGTGCGACTCTCAACTGTAAATGGGATCTAGATTCGATCTGCATGTTCTGCGAATGTACATTTGCCATTCATTCAACGATTCCGTTGCCACTTTTGCTATTGTTGTTGTCCTCGTCGTCGTCGTCGTCATCGTCATCGTCATCGTCGTTATTCAGCTCAAAATCATAAAGTGGATTTTTCTGTATTTGATTGTCATTTCATGGGCACATATTTGTAAACGGAGAATGTAATACGTATACTTTTTTCCGTTCAATTTTGACGAAGGTGCGAAATATTGCTGATTTATGAACGGAACACGCATAAATTTGTTAACCGTTACCTAAAATAATTTTTTATTCTTTTTTCTCGGTAAACCGCTTCGGGATAATGTAACCACAAATGTGGTTTCATTGGGGCTACACAATTCAAGATACTATCAGAAAAATGCGAATTAACCTTTTTCCAACCCCGTATTTTGGTACACCGTTTTGCGGCCACTTAGGCGTACAAAGATATACGTACATATAGAAAATATTATTTAAAATAGTGTGCGTACGATATGTCTAGAGCATTTACCACGTTACCATCGACACGAGGAAATTGTAGATTTGCCAGTCAAATTTAGGAGTTAGTAGTTAATTTACTGGTAAACTAATTTCTGCTTTGTTATCGTCTACGTATTTGTACGTAAAATAAAATGATTCATACAGCAACTGGGCAAAAATGGGTTTCATTTGAATAAAAAAAAACAGATATTAAATGAAACCACAGCTCTGGCAGCCAGTTAGTTCAACGATAATTATGAAAATCAACTAATACATTATGCCTCATTCTATTTCTCTCTTGCTTTCACGCACAAGTACATGTACACACACAAACACAGTCGATGTCGAAGAGCAGCAAAATGAGCGGATCGAAACATGTACGAATGTAGATGCGACAATCGAAAAAATAACTGCGTTTTTTCCCTCCGTGCAACGTTACCAATGAGAAAAAAATTGATTGTGTATCAACACACAACTCGGTGGTTAGGAAAATGTGAACGGGCCGCATGTAGCAGACAGATGTGCAAAGGTATTGTCGTCGACGACAACGACAACGACAACGACAATGACAACGACAACGACGACATATCCCCACCACTTCGGACGCTTGTAGCGCTTTCATGTATACGCACATTGATGTCAACACGATGTGGATTATTGCACCGCATCAGACCCATCGACGTCATTGTATACGCGATTGCTAAACAGCTTTTTTTGCAGCTGAACATTCTTATTGGTCTCCGTATTCCTAGCTAATGTGCTTAAAAGCATAAGCGCTTCAACTATTATTCTCTCTCTATCTCTCTGCCTCTTTGCCTCTGTGGTCTATGACTATGACTATGACTGAGGATCTCTGCACATAAAAAAGATATTTCAATACTTTCTCTATTTCTATTTAGCGCTTTGCTGTTTATAATTTTGTATTGTCAACATTTTCCGGATGAATTGGTCTATCTAGAAAATGGCCAACGCAAAATTCACGTTCTACTCTGGGAATCATTGAAAACTGAAAATATATCGCATCCAATCCACTTTTCTGAAAAACAACCGAAGGTAATTCTCATTAATTATTCTAAAAATCAACCATTTTTCTTCAGAAAAGAATAGATTTGAGTTCAAATGTAAAACTGGCCAAGAAAATGAAATAATTTTATTTATTGAATCAATTTTTACATACTAAATTTCAGCGGCTGTAGAGTCTTTATCTATTTTTCCACCCCCTCAGTATAATTGTTCCAACAGAAGAATCACGTTTGAGAAATAATTTCAAAAGGAATGGCTAGAAAATCAAATTACATCAGCTAATATGAATGAAATTCCCAAAATGTGTTTTTTTTATTGATTACAAATAAATAATTTCGGGTAGAAACATTTTGTTGTAGATTACATTATACTCTATTTTACTCTCTTTTTTACCAACGTCATCATTTTCAACGACCGCTACAGCGAACGCACAACGTATTTTGCGGTCTTTTTTGCCTGGTGCCACGAGCCAAGAACATAGAGGTGATTAGAACAAAAGCGTCATAGCTAAACTCAGATTGGATCGGATTGGGTCGGATCGACATCTTCACTGTGATGTTGATGGTGAAATTAAACGCGAGATGGGTTCAGCAAGTATGATGCGGCTCTCTTAGTAGCAGATACTTTCCGAAATCATTGTTGTCAATTTAACCACTCTTTTTTTTCTGCGTTTCTTGGATGGAGGGGAAGTCTTGAGAACTGTGTGTACGTTCGATAGAGACAACAATTCTGATATTGAGAGAGAGAGAGAGAGAGAGAGAGAGAGAGAGAGAGAGAGAGGAAGAGAGATAGATAGATAGAAAGCAAAAAGACAGAACAACCAGAGCACCGAAGAAATTGGGGTAAAAATTGCGTTTCGAAATTGCAAAATCCAAAGCTGTGTGTATTTTCTTTTTCGATAGATGAAACGCAAGACGCAAACGATATGTACATCCAGTCGCACACGGTACATACGGCAACAAAATTGTATGACTTGCCACAGCATTGCGCATGTGTTGTTTAAAGTAACACACAGTACATTCGCTCGACTTCAAATTTCGGTACGTTATTGCTTCAACTTACATCTGATTTCGATCAATGCTAGACGTTTTTTGTACACCATCGTAAATTCATTCGCGTTTCATCCCTCTAGCGAAGCGATAGTAAAACGGTTGGGAATATTTTTGCCGTCGGTAAAAAAAAAAGAAAAAAAAAGAAATCGAAAAAAAAGTATTCGACAAGACAGATTGTCTGACATAACAGGGCCGCACGCATACCTACTTTTAAAAAGAAAAGGCGAAAACGGTGGTGAAAGACGGAAATAAACAGCTTTAGGAGGGTATGTAATTATTGCTCATGGGAAAAAGCAACACATAAAAAACGAGGAAATAACTGAATTAAAAAAATAAAAATAAAGTGTTAACAGGAATTCAATGAACTCACTCATCGACTTTGTCGAGACAATAAAAAAGAACATAATATCCTGATTTTTTGTTTTTGAAAAACGCTCAATTTTAAACTCGATAAAGTGGTTGAATGTCAATAAATTATTTGCCAAAGGTTAAACCTTTTAATGAACAAATTGTTGATATTCAATCATCTTTTGACAGAAAAATGGATAGAACAACAGAAAAAATCAGTCGGATCAGAAGCTTTTCGATCAATTGTTCTTCAAATGAATTGTGATGTCTATAAACCAAAGGGACCAGATTTAATCAATTGAATTGTGTGATGAATTGTGAACAGTAGTACAAGATCAAACTGAGTGACCTCATGAGAGAAAATATACCATTGTCAGTTTGTCAAATGGTCTATCATTGACCGAAGTGGTCTAATTGTGGTCAATTTGATCTGAAACTAAAAGCTAACTACACGGCGATGAAATAAGAGTTACGTACCACTTGGCTCAAGCTATTTAACCAGTTGCTTTATCATAATTACAAAACCAAATTTTAATATCAAAAACATTATCAAAATGTTTGGAGCATATAGTGTGAAAATGTGATGAGCATGAGTGTTGAAATACGGATTGAAAATCGGAATTATCAAGTTCATTACAATGAAGTTTTTATTTTAATTTGCAATCGGAAGGTGAAAATCATAACGAAACAAATCAAGGAAATAACAAGTGATTTAATTGTGAGAATGTTGCACGATAATTTCAGTTTTCAATTCATCTTTCATAGTTTATCATTGTGACACAAAAATATACGTTGAATCCACATTAGGATTGAATTCCCATTCTTAATCAAATCAATTATAACCACTTTATTGTAATTTAATACCTTTCCAGATAATCGACATTGAATAACCAACCCATAAATATCAGGAATACAATTTGTACGTTGTACGTTTGACAAACCATAAAAAAAGAAGAACACATACACAGTGTGCTTAGGTCGAGCAAGCCATTCACGAATGTTTATATCAACTAAAATTAGTTTGTTGAATTTATAAAAAGAATTACGGAACAAAAATAAATAGCATTGTGAAAACGCCGAATCAACTATTGCAAACGGTTCAACTAATCAGTTAAATGTGGATGATGAAAACGTTTTAATCTAAGCTTCAAAAAAAAAAAACCAAATACAGTAATAATGGATACCAATGATGCGCATTTAATTTACTAATGCAATAAAGAAGGAGAAGAAAAAACGAAACAAAAAATATAACGGCAATAATCCATACCAGCTTGAACAGAGCTAGATTGAAAGTGATAAAACTGTTAGTGAATGGGCATAGTGTTATTATATATGACAACAAGTGAATCCATCAAATCATGTCACATATTCACAGCAGTGTGCTTTTCCGGATGCAAGGGTACTACTGAATAGGCAATAAACAATAAAGAGAACGAAAATAAAGGCAGAAAGCGGAAAAGAGAGAGAATTGCGATTTTTCGGGCTGTAACGACTAAATGATACTGGAAATGTGTGAGTGTGGCTACTTCATTGGCCCACTTCAACAACGTATGCACACACATATACCAACGACGAACTGCAATTCCAAAATTCACGAAAGCCGCCGACACACTTTTCTTTTTGAAACAAAACCTTTATTCAAATATCGTTTATAAATAATTCAGTGTTTTACATCTGCAGTGTCAATCATAAAGCACGACACAAAAAGAAAGAAAGAGAAAGAGAAACAAAGTAGTGCTTTGAAAAAATACAACAACAACAAGAACTAAAACTAACCTCCAGTCAAAATTAACAATTCAGTTTGGCATCGTACAGTTCGAACAGCGACTCTTCAATTACAACAGCTATCAGTTGGTTTTCAACAAGAAACCAGGAAAGACATCTACAAAAGGTAAATATGAACAAAGCTTTTCAGAAGCTAAATATTGCCCAAATGGATGAAGTGCAATTCAATTCAGACTGCATTGCTTTTGTAGCAAAAACGAAAGCAAACAAATCATAATACGGAAACCAAGTGCATGCCATAGATTTTGATGAAATGTTATAACGCATACATGGCACAACATACATTTCACAAAGACACTCCCTTCATGTCAATTGTTTTTCAAAATGGTTTTTTTTTTCGTTCAAACTTGGCAAAATGTGTCAATCATTCACGAAAAATGGAATAAACCGCTTCTGAAAATGCATTGGTAATAGTTTGTCGGCATTTTTCGTCTTTCTTCTTCTTCTTCGTATACAAAGTTTGGTGACTTAAAAACAATATCGAATCAAAATTTCGATTTGTTCAAAAATAAATATGAAAGCATTGAAGCATTGATACTATTACCGAACGTATGCTGTCGAATTCGATGAACGAGACAAAAATGTGATTGCTTGCGTTTAACGCAGAGCAGTGAGCTTTAACACGTTCCCAAACCCACAAAATAAAATGTAACAAAATTACAAAAAGCTTAAGTTGGCAAAATGTTTTAAAAGAGCACAAGAAGAGAGAAAAGAAACGCCAAACCCAACACAGCAACCCAAGTGGAAGTGAGATCAAATTAAAAAAAAAAACAAGAAAACAAATATCAAAAGAGACGGAAAGCCGAATAAAGTTGTTTGCCAAAATGTCAGAGAAAATAGAGAAAGGGCCCCCGAAAAACGAGACTGCCAAACGAGAAAATGAAAAAGGAAATGATCTAAAAGACTCAGTCATGCCATTGCGAGTCGATAGACATATGTATTTGTGCCCGTGATATATCCACTTTATGCCATTCATTTATTTATTTTGGTTTTCGTTGAAAACCGAACCAAAAAAAAAAATAGTGAAGAATATATATATAGCACCCAAGTAAAAAGGAAATTTTTTGCAACAACCACCATAAACTAAACCGTGCGAGCCAACAAAAAAGGTATTGGGCCGAAAAAGACCGGGCGCAAAAGAGAACACAAAAAACCAGATACATCTACACAAAAGAGCATTGCTATTGACGATTCATACGCTATGCGCATTTGAAACAAATCGATTAAAGAAACTAAAGAGTATCGCATAATAAGTTGACCATTAAAAAACCTGGTTTTTACATCGTTTTTTCCTTCAAACACGGAACCACTGCAAAGCTTTGTTTGTAAAAAAATGTTCGAAATGAAAAAAACGCTTCCAACTTTACGTTCAGTATTCAAGAAGCAAACACACAAGCATGCGAATCACATCCCGGTTGTATGTTTAGAATTGAACGGATTGAAGATATTAAGCTAGAAATTGATAAATGTTTTAAACGTTGAAATTATTATTTTGCACTTGTCGTGCAAAATACAATGTTATCGGAAACAATTATTCATAATATGGACTGGAATCGCTCAATTTCTATTACGTTAGGAATGTCAATGATGTAAGATCGCTATAAGAGATGCTAAAAACATCGTCATCACCACATAGTAAAATGAAATAACGACATCAATGCAAATTTTCACTGGTCTATATAAGATATTTTCTCTGATCCATATACATGAAGTTGCTGATGTTCAATATATAGTAATATCAAATGCAAAGTGTGGTTTATTCATCAAGTTCATCTTCCTATGGTCAGATGGCATTGTAGTGAATTGCCACTTTTGCTTCTTAATCGTTGGCCATATTATTAAGTTGAACGGGCAAACAGAATGAAATATCATAAACTGCGTTTATTTTAAAGAAAATATTGTCATTTTTTTCATCAACAGGTTCTTCAAAACCATACCGCTAATCCTGAATATTAAAAAAAATCAACACTGAAATATCTTTTGAATGACGTTTGGATCAAGTAGATAATATAAAAATTTGAGATATCGTTGCGATTGACACGAAAACAGCAATAAAGCAGCTTACTATAATAAAATTTTAGAAAAAAAGGAAACTTCGAGTGACTGACATCGTGATTTTATTCCGACTGACTACTATTTAAGCAAAGTAAAGTAATTGTACAACATTTTAAATTTCAACAACAGCAAACACACAAACACAGAAGCAACAAAATAACATAGTTCAATACGTTTAATATTATATGTTTGTGTCGGTGTGAGTGGAATATTAAAATACAAAAATCACAGTTCAATTGATTTTCTTCGTCTATAAACGCTATACTTAGAGATAAGTCGTAATGTATTACGATAAATACAGCTCATTGCTGTCTTCGGATGGTTGAATTTGAACATAGAATCCAATTGTTGAAATTAATTTATTGGGAAGCAGAAACATCGACGACATCAGATCAACAATAGTTGCAACAAAAGAAGAGAAGGAAATTCAAATTGCACCGGTGATTAGTGTAAATGTGTGCGTGCGTGTGTATGTGGAAAAAAAGTTGTTTTTACTATAAATGCACCAAAAGAGGAATTAATTTAAAATTTAAGGTAATCCAAGTGAATCTAATTAAAGTTAGCAATTAATTTAGTGCATAAATGATGATTCGTGAAAGTGTACAAGTGTTGATATGTTTGAGTGTGCTGGTCAGCACAAGTGTTTCATTACACATGATCAGAGATGCATACCATCGGCCGTTGAACGAACGGAACAACATAAATCGCGATACAGTAGTTATCGATTCGGTAATTAATACAAAAAGAATTCCAAACACTGACCTGAGTATGCGTGCAACACGAAATCCATTATCAAACACTCTAAAATATCACGAACTATTTCCATCGTCGTTGTCATCTTCATCGTCAGTGGGCGTATCTGGATCCAGATCTAGCTCATCACCATCATCAACATTACCACTTTCAATGTCCTTTCGTAGCGACTCATTGGCGCGCTCATCGGTGACGGACCCGGACGCTTCTAAATATCGATGGCAAAAACAGGTTTGCACTTTAAATAAACCGACGTTCTTTTTTACCTTTGACGATTTAATTTACAAGTGAATCTTTTAAAAATATGAATGCAATGGCTTCCATATTGCTTCAGAAAGTGTAAAAGAGTAAACTAATTTGCTAATTGTTTCCTTATTCAAAGACACGGTCTTGGAAAACCGTACCTGCACCTGCATCTCAGCCAGCAATCACGATTCAGAACAAGACCGAGCAAAGCAAACAACCGCCACAACAGCAGCAACAACAAAAACAGCAGCAACAAAATCAACATAGCAATCAAGCGATTCGACCGCATATGAGTAAAAGAACATCAAATGCAGCGCACATGGATGACGAAGATGACGGAAATATAGACATGGATGGGTATGGTGAACGGAATTTCCATGATTACAGTGACAACAGTGCCGACCACATGGGCATCGCGGATGATGACATGAGCCAACCACCGATAGCCAAAGGCTTACCTACCAAATTCATGTTTCGCGGAATGCGTGGTCAAAGACAGTACGACGTACCGCAGATAGGTAAGTGCCACTTTCCACGTTTGTTGCACTTCATTTTCGAAGCCGAGGTTGTAATACTTATCAACACCCACCTCCCCCATAACACTGACAAAAAACGAATGAAAAAGAAACTGGTAATATTCCAATTCAATCGATCACTTATCTAATGTCTAAATGCAAATTGTGTCACAACCAAATGGTGAATAACTCGAAAGATTTGCAAATAAATTTACCATCAAATGCCGAATTAACGACAGTTGAATCAAAATTTTACTCAGAGTAATGAGATCTAACTCAATAGAACGCAGTTGGATTATAAGTTACAACAGCAATCAAACATTCAATTTTGACTTGTACGTGGAAAATGATTGATAAAATACAGACACGTACAGGTGAATAGCAAGCGGTTTCGATTGAATTTATCGGATAATCGGATATTCATGTGCATACTAGTCGCTTTTTGACACCCCAACATATACATGCTCTATTTGCTAGCCACCAGACAATGCGTATAAGTCAGGCGTTTGGTTGATTTCTGCGATGAATATATAATGTGATATATGCATATATTGTCGAGTGGAAACTCTCTACTGCCATCAAATACACTTCTAATTAAATGCACGAAAAGCGACTAACAAAAGCTGTATATTGCCCGAAATCTTGTTGTGTAAGTTTAATCGAAACTAAAGAAAGAACAACCGAGTTCCATACGTAAATGAAATACAACTTCTACCATAATACCATACTATAACTGCCAAATATGTCCGTTTTCCAGTCTATAAAAAGCTATTTGCGTTTATCGTTCGACAAACTTTGGTGTGTTTGTTGCACAAACGCGAAGAACACTGAGCAGCAATTGTTTCAAAAAAGAAATTTTTTTTCCCAAAGTTTTTTGTTGACAACAGCTTTGATTGTGATCTCAAATTGCGTGATAATATGGGCTGTAGTGTGTATATCGTAGAACAATACATTTTCATGGTTGTATCCATGGTATTTTTCACGCCAATGTAAATGGAAATTCGATTGAATGGAATTGTTTCAAACCAACAAGTATAGTACAATAGTTTTGGACAATGACAAAATGTGATTAAGAATGCCACAATATAGCAAGACGTAGTATGAAGAACGGTTCAAATCAATGATTCAATTGTCACAAACACATCTCTTCCCCATCTCTTGTCTTATTGAACGGCAAAAGCGAAGAAATTATGATGAGTGATTTGATGACAACGAGTGATATGGGCAGATGGACAGTGGACACTCTTCACACAGAAAAGAATCCCCGAAAATTTAAGGTGTTCGCCGTAAAATTTGACATTTATATATAAATTTCTATATACATTTTACCGGCAACACTTCAATTTTCCGGGCGATGACATAATTTCAAATATTCCAACAGAAATTAGCGCCATCTGTCATTTCAAGCGGTAAAATATATATAGTATTTGATAAAATGTTCGAAAATGTGTCATCGCCCGGAAAATTGAAGTGTTGCCGGTAAAATGTATATAGAAATTTATATATAAATGTCAAATTTTACGGCGAACACCTAAAATTTCCGGGGATTCTTTTCTGTGTGTTCATGTCGCTTGAAGTCAACAATGCGACATCCCTAGAAGGTACTTCGTAAATTATTCGTTTGACATTTGACGACACACTCTGGATGAGTGCACAATGCACATCGCCTTATGATATTATCATTTGTAAGGCACAAATTGTGGATAAAGCTTCTTTTGTCGAAATAATGTTTCAATCATAGCTGCACTTCATACAATTGAATATTGCAATCGAGACACAATGTTTTTTCTTTCTGTTTGACCAACGCTAGACACAAAAACCACCAACGGAATCATTTTGCGTAGCTTATTGAACATATCAACAACAACAAAAAAGTTACTCCCGTTAACACAGACGCTTTTGTGAAAAGCCACCTCGATGATTTTTTTATGATAAACACGTCGCTAATAATGTCATTTGGTTCACATGAAATATCCCATTATCATTTTCAAAGTTGAGCTAGATCCATTGACAATATTGTTATTAAAATGAAGTGGAACCACCAGGCTATATCTATTTAGGTCAAAATGACGGTTGCCCAATTTAAAATTATAATTTATTTTTAACTGTTTCCAATGAAATACCTGAATTGCATGATGAAAACGTTGCGTGCTGTTACGTTTGAATGTGCGCTACAGTCAAATGAAAATGTTTTCTTCTTTTTTCATCCGTAGAGAGCCACAAAGCCACATGTAATTAATTATTCACATTAAACATCGGTGACTAGTGCGTGCTTCACATCTTCTCTGTATTAGCAGCTATTAACATCATTATGATTGCTTGGAGAGTGAGAATACAGCAGAATTTCAGAATCAAATACGTACAATTTATGTGAATTATCAACTACTATATCACATTCATATATCAACGAATTCGCTTGAATTTTAGAGTTCCAACGAAATCGCCACCCTTGGTTTTGGTGGATCATGCATTTTTTCGACTTGTTCGTCATTCAATTCCATGAAATTGTCGTATTTATGAATTCTATATATGAGTAGTTTGGAGCGAAAATGTAATACAGAAAAGTTGCGCGGAAAAATGTCAAATGAAAAGAGACAGCTATATAGTTCACTATAGTTTACTATATAGCTATCCCTTTTCCGCTCATTCATCATCGACATTTTTCCGCGCTTTTTTTTTTTGATCAGAATGACATGAAACTTTGGGAAAATCATATTTGGCCAAAAAATAGAATACCCACAAATTTTCATCGGAAAATTCGAAAAAAAAATTTCCTTCGGCGTTAATGGGTTAATTGTTTTTTCCTGTATGTATAAATGTGCATATTTTCACTACGCTTGCCATCTCGAAGAACCCGCTTCACTATTCGTTCTATTGTGTCTCAAATACATAGTTTTGCCACAATTTTTGTCACATTCGATCCAACACAACGACTGTGAATTTATTCTATTCTCGCGTTTTTGTATACACATAATCAAGAAACCGAAACATTGTACAAATATTATTCATCAACTGTCACGAACTTTCACAATGCTATTTGTTTGATGGTCAAAAAAAAATCATAATCAAATTCTATTTAAAATGTGCAGACCACAACCATCAGAAACAGTTTTTTTTTTCTCAAACGGAAGAAAAGCTAAACTAACGTGTAATAAAATTTATTCGTATTTATGTGGTTAATAATAACGGATGGGTGGAAAAAAGTATGTACATATAAAATAATATCTGTAAGAAACTACACGATGATAACAATCGAAATAGGATTTATGCGACAATTCGTGTAAAAACGATAAAATATCGTATAATTTCAAATAAATCAATGAATCGGTCAATACTATTATTACCCGATATACGCATCTGTCAAATGTTTGCGTCACCTTTAAAACATTAAAAATTAAACGATATATTCTAAGTCATATAAATGCAATTTTCATTGGTATCATCGTGTAGATTTTCACAGATATTTTTCTGCGTGTCGTCAATCCAATCATCAATCATTGGCAATTAAATTTGGTTCTCAATATCTAACCATACACATTTCTTTATGTTATTTTGAGTTGCTTTAAGAGTAAATCAAATTCAATGTCTTTGAAGTATTGAAATGTTTGTCACTTGTTGGAAGTGCGACAAAAATCATGTTTCTGTTCTTTGGTTGAACTGCGAGTAGAGTGCGCCTGAGCACACATACCAATGAATTATATAAAATAACAATGAAAAATAGGACGTAGATCAAAATATTTTTTTGAAATATTTATTTATGAAATTTTCTTAGTATAGACAATCATGGTCTACATTCGTGCGGATGTCTGTAAGGCTGCGTTTGCTTACCCATAAAAAATTCATATGTCGATTCGATTGAGCTATTTAAAATTGTCCAAATTACGTGCTTCGCTGATATTTACTTGGCTAGCTAGAGAATGGATTCACAGTAAAGTAACGATTGGCTTCAAACCAATTGATAAGCCACAATATTTTCAGTGTGATAGCAATCGACGTATTCTATTGAGTAGTGACGTACGAGAGAGAGAGAGAGAGAGAGAGAGAGAGAGAGAGAGAGAGAGAGAGAAGAAAATATTATGCCTATTCGAAATTATATTTAAAGTTTTTTGCTTAACCATCATTTTGAGGATAGTACTTTGTATGTATATCAATTTATTGTTTTGCAATTCTAAGATAGACCGCCAATATTTGTCAGATAAGAACAGTGTTGTCGGAAAGAAGAAATAATTTATCTAGATAAAGATAAGTTATTATCTTATCTAAATGATAAAAGATAAGATATTATCTTATCTATTATGAATTTTTAGATAAGAAAAAAAGATGAAACATTTGTAGTATCAATTTCACTTTATTGACGATTTTGGAAAAACAACTGTATTGGTGATAAACTCAAATTTTTCGCCAAAATGGCATATTTTTCCTGCATGTATCATCCGAAAGAGTTATCGCCATTGCTGCTTTTCCTGAAATTCGATGAAAGTTTATGCAAATACGCGTGGGCAGATTCAAAACGAAGATTCATGAATTAGATTCACTGAATCATTTTTCGGAAAGATTCAATTTATTTTGATTCAGTGGATCAGTGATTCATTTTTGGACAATAAATTACCTTAGGTAGGATCACAAATCGAAAATGATTCAGAAAAAAATGAATCTTGATCCCGAAATTTGTTTGAATCTGTGATTCACACGCGAAGTGACGGATTCAGTGAATCATTAGTCACAATTTAGCCCTGTAATGGCAAATTTCTTGTGCCCTAAACGGTAAATCGAAATTGACTATACGATTTTAATATTTGGAACATCAATTCTTCTGGCAAGTACATTGGAATTGGATAGCATTTTTGTTTCGCCACTTTGAAAACGAAAAAAGTAATTGAGGTAGATGTCATTGAGACATCTTGGACATATTTTGGTTATGTCTGTTCGCCATAAACCACATACCCGAAGTAATCTTGGATAAATAAATAATGATATAAAATGAAAATGGAAAAATATAGTTT